CTGGCTGCCTCTGCACTGCCTGCAGGCGCAGCCTGGGTTGCTCCTTGCTGGCGGCGGAGCCATGTGCCCCGGCTGTTTGCTCCTCCAGGAGGAAGAGGGACAGAGGCGAGCCTGGTGCCCAGAGCCGTGGCTCGTTGGTGTGGCTGGCTGCATTGTCAATAGCCTTTTCTCTAACCCCCCAAGACTGCTGCCTTCACCCTGGTGCCATGCGCAGCCAACAGGCCGGTTTCCCCTTGCCACTGCCCACGAGTGATGAGTTTCCTCCTGCAGCACAAGAGAAAGAATGAGAAGGGTTGTAAGCGCCTGTCTGCCAGGCAGAGCATCCTCCTTTTCCCCCCGACACAGCACCGCGGCTGTGGGCGCTGTGCCGCTCTCAAGCTGTGGAGCGAGGTGAGCGGAGAGCGTTCCCAGAGCCCCGCGATGCTCTGCAGAGCGCAAGCATCCTGCCAGCCGTCTTAAACACGCAGGCCAAAGTGCCTCACGTGACCTGGGAGCCACTGGCTCAACGAAGGCCAGCACAGGCTCCCAAGCACGTGTCATTTTGGGAAGTGGGATTTAGTTCTGGAATAACTTCAGCACTAAAATGCAACCCACTGTTCCTGTGGTCCACAGCTTAGTGACAGAGTGCAAGACACTGTTTTGCCTTTTGTGAAACCCGGCCTCCTGCAGGAGAGCATTACCATCAAACAACCACAGCCCTGCACGCTCCCACCCCGCTTCTTGGGTCTGCTTGTAGCTGTCTGAGCGTGATGCAGGGCTCACGAGGTATGCGGGAGTGACTGGAGGCACATCATTAGCAGTCTATTTATGTTAGGAAATTAGCTTTTGTGGGCTTCATGATTGATTTCATTTTTCTTTTTCCTCTTTGTGCTTGAGGAGGGTTTGTATCTGGCGCTGTGAATGGCCTGCAGTGTCTCAAACCCTTCTCGGCATTTTTGGCCCACGCCTTCCAGCCAAACAATACACGCTTAGACTCTCCTTTTGTTGCTGCAGTGCTAAAACATTAGAGTGAAGCCTGCTGGGTTTTCCTGCCTGCCTAACCGGTTGCGCTCTCCTTTGACATAGATCAGGAGATATTTGTCCCCACTGGCTGCAGGGGGCTGCAGTTATTGCCCTAGGCCTCCTTACGGAGAACCTTTTGCTGTTGCATGGTGGTGCCCTGGCTGTTGGAGGATCTGCTGCCTTTTAGAAACGGGAGATGTTTTCCATGTGTCTGAAGGAACTCCAAACCTTGCTGTGGTTTGCAGCCTACGTTTTAGGTTTCTTCTTGGAGTGACTTTCCTTCAGCTCAGGAAGTCTTGAGTATGATGATTTTTCATAGCCCGTCGAAGCCACACCCTAGCATGGCCACGAGTATGGAAAGAGCTTTCCTGCCTCCCGTTTCTGCAGTAAAATGGTATTTCAGAAGATAAACATTTCCAAAAGTTCCCTGCATGCAGCTGCCTCAACTTGAGACACATCAGAGAGATTTTGGCAGAGGTAGAGTACTGCAGTCCTGGCAATGCCAACGGCCCTCACCAGCTTTAGCAGATGTGTTGGGCACCTAAGGTAGTATCACTGGTCAGTTGGTCAGCATATCTCAAAGCCGCTGTGCATCTGTGGTAGCACTTCATTTTAAAACAGAGTTGCACATGTTGAGACAGAGCGTTGCCCCCGTGCTGCTTGGTGCCAGAGGTATTCTGCTGGGCCCTCTGCGTGGCAGCCCCCTCCGTGCTGTGTTGGTCATGGCCGTGCTATCAGCTATGTGTGTAAAGGTGATTCCTTCCTGTTTCATTTTATTTTGCGGTGGCACTAGACTCTCTGCATGACTGGTGTGTGACACATTGCAAAGGCCACTTGGGAATGCATGAAGTCCTTTTTTAAAAGCGGGAGAAATGACCTGCTGCTGCTTCAAAAGGGTCCCGTTTCTGGGGCTAAGCTTGCTCTGGATGGGAGAGCGCTGGCAAAAACCGTAGGACCATCGATCGCTCTTTTCCACCTTCCCGTTTTACAATAGGACGTGAGCGAGTAGCTTGGAAGTTAAATTTTCACTGGTGCTGTTTTGTGCTGCTCAGACCCCTTTTGAAGGCCCCTTTCTTGGTCAGGAAGTGTTATCTGATGTGCCTCATATCAGGCCAAAGCAAGCAGCCAGTGTTCTGTAATTGTCCTCTTGGCTTGAGAAGCAGGGGCCGTGCAGCTGCTGCTGTGTCTTCCTGCTATTTCTCTCCCCGAATCTTCCTTTGTGTTTGATGTGTTAATTTCCAGTTTTTAGTTTATGTTGCTATTTCAGTAGGGCTGCGTGACTGCCCTCTGGCTCGCTGCGTTGGTGGCTTGTCTTAAAAGTCACTATCTCTGGCATGCTGTGGGCCCGGCCTGGCTGCGGGAGCATCAGAGGGGCCCGGGCTGTAACCCGTGTTCTGGGACTGGGACTGGGGAGGTGTATCAGAGTGACTCTGTTTCAGGGCTCCATTTGATGTTGTTGCATAATTGCTTTGAGATGGCTGGGCTTTTTCCAGACTGAGCAGAAGACTGGGGGTGGGGAGGGTGAAGAAAAAAAATCTGTTCTCGTCCCCCTTATCAAAGGAGTTGTGGCAAAGGAAGTGTTTTTTTAATTTTGTGGAGCTTGGAATACTTTTTTTTTTTTTTTCCCCTGACCTTTATCAGTTTGGCAAAACTTCGGGCAGAAGATGCCGTGAAAACAAGGAGCTGATATGCACTGGGATGTTCATGCCATTGTAATCTTGGGACCAAATTTGAGAGAAGTGAATCTCATTCATTTATTTATTTTTGGTGTGTGTGTCTAAAACATGGAGCTGGTTGCAGCAGTGCAGCTTCTTGGGGCACGAGTGGATTGTGTGTAGTATGTAGCAAACGCAGGATCAGAGTGACTAACCATTGCATTGATGAATGCTGGAAGTAATTGTGCGGGGGTGTGGGGACGTTCCTGTTCTAGTGCCATAGTTTGGGGAGCGTGCTGTCAGATGAGTCCGGAGGCAGCCTGTGTCTCCTGAGAGCTCCAGCACAGCCCTAATGGATAGATGACCTTCTCTGCCCCTTGACCACATGTATATTTTGTTCCATTAATGAGGGGGAAATTAAGAAACTTAATTTGACAAAGATTTAGTGCCAGGAGAGCAAAGCATGGCTCGGTGCCTAGGCAAGGCTTTATTATAGAGCTTTTCTGCAACACAGCTCTGCACCCGAACTGTTCCAGCACGCGACAGGTCAACAAAGTAGAAGATGAAAGGTTAAGCAGAAGCAAAGCAAGCACTGGGTTCCAGATAGCTTGATAAGGGCATCTGGAATATAGTCTCTCTGAGAGAAGATGATTTAACTTAATTGTCAGGCAGATAGGTGTGAGCTGAGGCAAGCTTTGAGAGCCATCAGGTGTATGTACCTTGGTCTTCTGGTGATGCTGGGTGCAAACAACCAGCTCCCTTTTGCCTGGGTGTGCAAGGAGCGAACGTATTTGTGAATTCACCGTTGTAGTTTCTTAGCTTTCTGCCCTCAAACTTGCCTTTGGTGGAGTATGGGACTATCCTTGTCCTCACATAAAATGGCAGAGCAAACCTGGGCACAGTGGAAGTCTGCTTTTGTTCACTAAGTGAGATGGTTTAAAGAACTCAGTAGTAACTTGCATACTTTTTAAAAACAGAGCTATAAGCAAGCAGATCTGAACACTGGCTACATGAAATGGACTCCTCTTAGTGGTCAACAGCAAATACAAAGATAATGAGTTCATTCTGGCTCAGGAGATGTTGCCCAGTTCTTTGCAGGTATGGTCGTAAGGACAGGCTCCCTGAGCGCTGTATGCATTAAATGAGCCTCGTGATAGATCTGCGAGGAGCAAGGATACCTGGGCAATCACAGACTGGCGATTCTCTATTCTGCCACCTTCTTCCTATTTTAGTTCGATGAGATTTTTTTAAATTCTTAGACTAGTAAGAGACTGCTGAATCTACCCTAGGCTTGGCTGCGTCTTCCTAGTGAAAGTGGTGTTCTCTGCACAAACTTCTGCGGATGGACGCTTATTCTGAGGTCAAATGAGGTAGACAGCTATAAAATGCATTAATATGGTATTTTCTTGTATCCCGCAATGCGTGATCATTGCTACGTATTATGTGAGATTTCCCGTTAGAAAGGGGAACTCGCACACCCTAGGCATACAAGTTTTATTCCTGGGACGTGCCACAGCCTAAGCCGCAATGGCAGAGCAAGCTGGTTAGGGAAAATTGTTCTGCAACTAGCAACCGGCTTCCAGCTCTGTCTGTCTGTCCAGTAACACGAGCAGTTCTGCTTCTTGTTCCAAAAACCAGTATTTTTAACAGACTGCTTTTTTTGCGTTTGTGGACCCAGGGAGCGGCATTTTGAAATGATTAAAAGGCACTGCCTATTGTGTGCTTAAACAACTTGAAATGTGATTGATGTGTGTTGCAGCCACGTTCCTCTGGAAGTTTCTCAAAGGGGAAGAAATATTTCCCTTCAAAGTCAAGCAGTGCGGAGCCAGTGGATAGAGCAAGGGACAGCGAAGTCGGGAGACGCTGGCGTCCGCTCCCAGCGATGCTGTGACCGTTCGAGAGCCTCCCCGTCCTGGCCTCGGGGTGCCACAGCGCTGGGTGCAGAAGGGTCTCTGCTTTCTGGACAGCCTCCTGCCAGCACGGAGCCGTGCCTGTTTGCTCCCCGGCCATCTCGGCATTTCCCAGCTGTTTGCCATGTAGATTGTTACCTCCCTTGGCGGAGGGTGGGGGGGGTCAATGCTGTGGTCCCTCTGAGATGGTTTGGTAAGGTGAGAGGTGGAGTGGAAGGGGGGGACCGCTCTGTGGCCGTCCCGGAGCCCTAGAGCGCACCAGTGTCCTGAGGCCGTTGCAAACCCCGCGGGTTTATTCCAGCGCTTAAAGCGACCCTTGTAACGTAACGGTGCTGGTCAGGATTCCTGGAAGGGCATCCAGGGAATCGGTGGTTTTTGTTGTGCTTGCTGGTTGGGCAGGATAAAAATTGAACAGAAAGCTGCTTCTTCCTCTGGTTGGTCTAGCGGTGCTTGTGAAACGCAAGTATGCCATTGTGGTTCCTGCTTGGAGAAGGCGTTAGTCAAGGATCTGTAAGAAACAGTCATCAGTGAATTTGATCATAACCAGCCACAAACAAATAAATACCAAGCACCTGAAAGACGTTCTTGTTCAGTAGTAGCTCAGTAATTCATGAGTCACTTGGAAAAAGCACGAGTCAAATCTGGGTAGCCGTACTGTAAGTGAAGAAGGATTTTAATTTGACAGCTAATGCTTTGGTTATAGATGTATTACAGTGGGGGCATGCAGTGTTTTAATTGTTTAAAAAAAAAAAAAACAGGCGTTGGTCAATATGATGTTTTTTATCTAGTCCTGTCCAAACGAATATGGACTTTCTGCAAAGACGAGCTGTTTTGCTTTGGGTTTTCTGATGCGCGCTGCATTGCCCGCAGAGCATGCGAGAGGAAACAAACAAACAGAGAAAGGCTGGAGGAGGGAAATGATTAGACGAGCTTCAGCTGTTTTTTTCCCCTTTTGAATGGCCCTCTTTCATCAGGATATGTTAGGACAAGTGCTTTTTCAAGCCAGGATATCAGTGGAAGACAGAGTGTTCTGTAAAAGTCATCCAGTTCCTGGGTAGCATCAACAGACGCGATTTCTCTGCTCCTCACAGAATATACGGTCAACCCTTTCTTTTTCTTCTTTTCTTTTTTTTTATGGGTTTAGAAGCAAAAGGATGTGAGTTTTACAGTTAGTTATGAATCTTTTCAAATTTACTGACTTCTGTCTGACTCTTGGGCCAGCACAATGCTTCTGCTGTTCAAAGAAAACCAGTCCAAATTAGTATGTATAAGCCACTCGTTTTTATGCTGCTAACAAATGCTGCTTACTAGAGTATTTATCACTGCTTCTGAGGCTTGGAAGTTGGGGATGTTCTTTAGCGATTGGAGAATTTTTGTTCTTAGGAGATTTAAAAAAAAAAAAAAGGAGCTGGGTTGTTTACTGGAACTGCGTGATTTACAAATGTTTTTAAGAACTGAGTTGCAATATTGTGCTTTGCCTTTTTCTCACTTTTGTTTTGTTAGCTGTTCTGGAACGGTTGCATGAGATGACTGGGGCTGAGGAATGTTCCTAGAATGTGGATAAGGGATAGTGTCGGGTAACGCTGCTGCTCCAGTGTCGTCTGAAATAGGAGCGCTCGCTCGGGCTTGCTGCTGTGTTACCTCTGTGCAGCGCTGTGCTGGTAATAGCTGAACAGGGGCTTGGGGGAGATCGGGGAGCGCAGGTAGCCCGGGGAATACGAGCAGCGTGACTTACGGAAAGTTGCCTTTTGTAAGGTTAGCGCGCGGTTTAGGAAATAAGCGTTCTTTGGCTTTGTTTTCAGGTTCATTTCCATGCAGGCGAATACATGGTGACAAAAATTTTGTCAGATGGGTTATCTTTTTCCTGCAACCACTTTCTGCTCTGGCAGTGCAGCTTTCTCATTCTCCTACAACTGGGAATATTCTCTTTTATTGTAAATGATGCTTTGACTGCATTTTCTGACCACAACGGAGGAGAACGTCAGACCAGATGACCCATCAGAGCATCAGTTATTGATGCCTTTGTGGAAAGAGTCGTGTCTCTTCCATGTTTGCTTTTTCTGTAGAAATCTCAGTCGTTATTTGGTTAGGGATAAAAGAATATCCTTTGGGATATCTTTATCACCTTCCCAAAATTCTTGAGACAGGGATACTGTGAATTATTTCCTGGTGCGTTCCCTAACCATTCCTTTTCTCTTGTTGGGGGGGAAAAAAAAAATTAGGTGAGTGTGTGTGAAGCTGGTATCTAACTGTATAGATGTATCCTTACGTTGTATTGATGTCACTGTTTTTGTATAACTTCTGGCCTTTTAAAGCACTTTCCTGTTAGCATGAAAGATCTGATGTGAGAGGGAAACAAGATTCCTCCTGGGAGACCGACGGAATGAGCTAAATTCCCGTTTACAGAAATTCTCGCTGTAGGTGCGTGCGCTCAGGTCTGAGTCCGCGTTGCGGGCCGCAGGGAATCGCTGCAGGGCTGGCGTTCAGAAACAACGCGCTTGCTAGCGAGTGGAAGTGGTGAGTGTTAGAACGCGGTCGGAGCGTAAACGCAGAAAAGCTTGTTTTAATTAGCCCGGAGCATAACTGGCCTGGGGGCGTTTAATTGATCTGAGATAGCACTTGGAAAGCCTGGAACCTATGCAAAAATTTGGGTTTGCGCTTTTTTTTTTTTTTTAAATCAACTGAAATCTCAAATTTAAACCTGGTTCAGCTTCTCTGGGAATTTTGCACCTTGAAGATTTAGTTGAAAAGTTAGGAAGCCTTGTCTGAAAACCCTCATAGCTTAGAGGACCTTGGCTGTAGTCTCACAGAAGGCAAAAGCCGAGTGCTGTAACTTCATGTCTTTGTTCAGAAAAGTGCAGGGCTAGACTGGAGCCTTAGCGCTCCCTTCCACCAAGGGGCAAAGCCTCTAGATAAAGTACAGGGCGAAGTGCTGGGAGTAGTAACTCCTGTGGGAACGTTTTCTGTAGCATGTATAACTCTGTGTAGCACAGTCTCACAACAGAGCATTTATATTTAGTAGATTGCAGACAGTAATTAATGATGATCTATGTTTGGAAGTGTAGGAGAGCAGTAAATTTAGGTTTGAAACAAGGAACGTCTCTTGTGATGGTCATTGCCTGATGTTTTGAGTGGTGTAAGAAATGCAGTGTAAGCAGTTACTGTGGCAACTAAAAGGTAGCTTACTAGATGTTGATTTTCAGTCTTGTGGGAAATGCTAAGTTTACCGCTTATGTCCAAGTCTATTTCTAAAATGCTCACAAGTACATTATGGTACTATGTAATTAGATTTGCCCTGGTTCTTACTGTAGCTACTGATTTTATTCATCTTTCTCTTTAGTTATGTTCTTGGGCCTGTTTCATTTGATTCTGTGGAAATATAGCTTTGTGTTTGCACAAATTAGGACCTGCCGTTTTCCCGGGACAGTTGTACCTAGCCGGAGTAAAGCCACATCTTTGCTATCGTGTTGGTCGCTCTTCCCCCTGCAGTTTTCTCTCTCTCTTTATGATGTGCAGGTTTCATCCTCCCCTCCCTTCCCCCTTAAACCTACAGAGAAGTCATAGCTGCACGTTCTTGTTTTTGCATTCCAGAGAAATCTTGAACTGAAATTAGTAGGAAGTGATTGATTTGGAACTTGATCTCAAGTCATTTTACAGGTCTAAGCCTGTAAAATGTCTTACCCTCTACTGTTTTTAAGTTGCAGAATTTGATAATCGAATGATAAAGTCATTTCTAGCACATGACAGCTCAAGTAAATACCTCCTGTAACAGCCAAGTTACAGCGTTGCTGGAAAAGGACACACTTTGTGGTGAAGAACCCTGGAGGCATGCCTTGCAAGGTGGCACAATCAGCCTTTAGGAACAGCTTCTCATGGCAAAATCCTACTATGTTTTGGTCATTAAAAAGCCTTTCCTTTTCCTAGGCATACTGACCTTAACCCATGTTTTGCTGCAATTTCCTTTCAGTTGACTTCCTGTGCCATTTATTTTCCAGCCTAAGCGAGAGCTTTTTCATGGTAAAAGGAGCAGCCCTCTTCTTGCAGCAAGGAAACAGTTCCCAGGGCCAGCGAAGTCTTCAGCATCCTCACAAACATGCAGGTAATGGATTAAATCATGTCCTGAAACTCCTCCTTGCTTTCCTGCTCGTCTTGTCCATGCTGGCAGGCTAATAGCACGCATGGGTGGGTGGATGACTCCTAATTACCACAGTGGGCCTTGTATAACCTGCTGAGTAAAACCAGGTTTTCAGCCTGCTTGATTTCAATGGGAACATATGATGACTGGATCTTTGTTTAAACTTTTTGTCATTGTCTTGGAATTGTGACTGGAGCAGAAATTTATTCTCTGCAGACATCATGGCATTCAGCACAGCATTCTTTAGCCCGGAAAACCTGCTGAGCCAGAGTCTTTACGGAATATGCATCCATGTTTTCTGCAGTCTCAAATGAAGAAATGGATCTTGTTTCTACTTCAGTGGTTTGATCTTTGCCTTCCCCTTTGGCCTTTGGGGAGGAAAATTAGCTGGACTGGCTCTCTCGCCTCTTCTTGGGGAACTGAGGTCCTGGTTCAGCACGGTACTGATATTTCTCCTGAGTGCTTTCCCATCCTCCAATAACTGGAGGCTCAGGACTTCGTATCAGGGATGTTTTCCATGTCACCAGTGCTCCCAGAGGTCTGTTTTGTGAACTTGCCTATCTCCTTTTGGGATCCTACAAGTAAATTTGTAGCATCCACAACAGCTTCCAGGTCAGGTCTCACATCGTGACTCCAGGCTGTGTGAAGAACTGACAGCATTTTTTAAAAGTATTTTTACCACCTTTTTTTTTTTTTTTTTTTTTTTTTGAAACTATGTGTTGCTGGAGGGGGGGTTGATGCTGTCACCAAGAGTGAAGAACATTTCAACAGGACTTGGTCTCTGGCCAGGCACATGCTTCTTAGCTCCTTATATTCCCTTTCCTGGTTTCAGGAAATCCCCTTTTCAGTGAATTCATAAAAACCTGGCCTGTAAGCATTTATCATGGTTTAAGAATGCACCTTTTTTGTTTTTGTTTGTTTTCTTCTTCCCAGTGGGCCAAGCTCTTGGGAAGAAATGGTAGAAAATTGTACAGTGAAAGCACATTAGGATTGATAAGCAGATGGGGTTAAAGAAAGTGGATTCTACTTGTCCTGTATTTTCATGCCTTCTGTCGTTGACAGTTTTGGAATAAGTGATTACTGGGAAAGTGGAAATAAGATCATCGGGGCATTTTGAGTGAAGGAGCATGTGGGAAAGGCACAGTGTGGTACTGTGTGTCTGCTGCTTAGTAAACACTCCAAGCACAAAGAGAGTGTTTGAATGCCAAGCTTGGCTTTGGGTTTCTTTGATTGTCAGCAATTTCATATACCCAGAAAACATCCTACGGAAGGAATTTTATCTCATATGGAAAGTTATGAGTGCATTACTAAGTTATTAGATGTACTAAGTTATTAGATGTGAACTTGTTTTGTTTTCTTGTAGATTCTTTGTTCCTTTAGCTTATTTTTACTGAACAGGAATGCATCCACCACTTTAGATCCTAAGGGACCTGTTGTGTGAATGGCCCTTTGTTAGAAACAGAAAGGATTCATCACCTAAACTGGGCCACTCCTGCAGCCCTTGTTCCTCAGAAGTTTCTCATGTTCAGATATGCCCTTTGGTAGGCCGGTGGGGTTGAACCCATGGTACTGCACGTGTTTCATAAGTCACATCTTTTTTTGTCCTTTGGCAATTTATTTTTCTTTTTTAATCAGAATTGTTCCTCCTGCCTTTTCCTCCCCCATCCTCAGTGCACTTATTTTACTGCCTTCTGCAAGATGCTGTAGCTGGAAGAATATCATTATTTGTGCCAGGCACAAGTGGTCACAATATATGTAGTACCTGCCAAATACTGTATAGCTTCATTCTCTTACACAACCAGATTACACTCATTCAAGAAGCTTCTTTCCGTTAGGATTCGCTGGGACAGTAAAGCTTAACTGGCCTCCCTTAAGTGGCATTTTCTGACTTCAAGAAATGTCCAGTTTCCCCGAAAGTCAAAACTATGCCCATTCTTAGGGCAGCAAGTGAGAGACCCCTTCTCATTATTTCTCTGCTTTCTCTGCAGGTGATTTGCCCCAGCACCTCCAGGTGATGATCAACCTCCTTCGCTGTGAGGACAGAATCAAGCTGGTAGGAAGTGATGCGTTGTCCTGCCCTTCCTTCTGTTGGAGGCATTTGAAATAGGCTTTGTAGAAGTTCACGAAAACAGCTCACGAATCCCAGGTTTCACAGTTAGCTTAAACCAAAGGAAGTCTGTGCTGGTTGCCAGCCTTACTGCATGGTCCTGCCCACTCCTTTTGGGCCAGTGCTCACATCTAGGTGATGAGTAGGTCAGGAAGCTGAGCTAGCTGAAACTTTTTCTTTTTGGTAAGTGTAATTTTCCAGTCAGCTCACAAACAGTAATGCAGGAGAAGAGCTGCTGGTAGTGGATACTTTGTGGTTAATTTGTCTTAAATCGTTCCTGAAATTGCATCCAAATAGGACTGGGCTTTGTATTTTAAAGACATCTGCAGAGGGTATAAAAATCACTGCAGAAGAGTCCTTGCTAACTATCCCCTCTAGCATCACTGCCATGTTTCAGTGGAGGCTCCTAAGAGTGGAAGAATCCTTTGAGCTTGCTTCTATTTCCAGTACAGCTTATTTGCCAACTTGCTAGTTCAGCTGCTTTGGAAAAAACTTCAGGTTGAATTTTGTAATAAGTTCTCCGCTACACTTCAAAAAATGATAGTCAGTAATGGAAGTAATGTTCATCCAAAAGCTGGTTTGCAGAGCTTGGTTATCCTGTTCTAGGCTGTCCGTTTGGAAAGCGTATGGACTGACAGAGTCCGGTACATGGTGGTTGTATACAGCAGCGGGCGACAGGACACAGAAGAGAACATTCTGCTGGGAGTGGATTTCTCCAGCAAGGAGAGGTATGGCTAGGGCAAGGCTGGGCTTCCTATACAGCCCAATGTTGTTTTTTTAACAAGAGAGACCCTAATTTCCTGTATAACTTTTGTGATTCTTGGAAAGGATAAGGTAGAACAACCCAGAAAACAAATTTCAGCTCCTCAAATGCATGTACGTTTTGAAATGTTCCCCATTCACAGTAGGGAATGAAAGCAAAAGCCCTAGATATCTTTGCAGATCTGAAACGCTGCACTTTGTTTTGGAAATAACAAAATAGATATGAATTCCTTTTTAAAGGCAAACAAACCCAGCTCCTCTTTCCCCTCTCCCCCCAGCTAACAGTAATTCTCCTTAGGGGGCTGGCTACTTACCAATCGACAAATCCATTCTAACTGTACAGTTGGCTGCTGTTTCGATTACTGTTTCCCTTGAACGCTAAAGTTTTTGTTAATTAAGGAAAGGCTTCATGCGGAATGAAGTCTGTTGGCATTCGCGGCTTTGTTGAGGGACTCCATGGCTCTGGCTGAAGTGTCACTGCTCAGCTGTTAGTGTTTTGACTGCTGACAGTTTGAGCAGTCAGGCACTTTTGTGGGTTTTATTCCTTTTACATGTATTTAATAAAAAACATTTTTTCTCACAAAGCTCTAAAGTGCACATTGTCCCCACGTGTGTTCAAATGGGCCTGTCAGCTCCTTTGATCTGAGGTAGAAAGAGGCTGAAGGCTTCAAAAAAGCTCCCGAGTTCTTTGCTAACTTGCTGTTATTGTATGCATACTGATTTCCTTTAAAAGTTTAATATCTTGGCAGCTTAATTATTTACTAGTTGAAAGTTACTGGTACCCATTATAGTATAGTTTTCTTGCCAGATTGCTTCTCTGAAATGAAAGTGTCCTTTGGATTAGGTAAACTCATAAAATCCTTTTAGTCTTTTTCTACCACCAAAGTGATGAAGTGAAAACTGAACGCAGTCCTTTGAAAGGCCCCTTGGGTCCCCTTTGGGAAGGCCAGGCAGCTGCTCTGCCACCTACCAAGGTTTTTTCTGCCTCCCTTCAGTGAGCTGAATCTCTGCAGCCAGATCACTGTGATCTGCCTTTGTATCCTGTTGAGGGATCTTCCTTGCACTGGTCTTATGAGGGTGAGAGGAGTAAAGATGATGGGGCAGATGCCACAGCACTTCCTGGCAGACCATTGGTGTGGAGGGGAGAGAAGAGGTGGCTTTGTGACTCTTGCTGCTGTGCTGTTGTTTCTCCAGCCCTGTGGAGCAGTGGGCGTACTAATATAAGAGTAGATCTTTAGGTTTCAGCTTGCTGACCTCCCTGTGTGTTGAGGTGTTAAATGGTCTAAGATATTACTAGGAATTACTAGAGCAAGACTTGGAATTTTAAAAATGAAAAGAGTATTCATAATTTAAAATATCGACATGACCATGTTGTGGCCTGTATTTAACATCCTGCATAACAATTTCTCTTCCAGTAAAAGCTGCACTATAGGAATGGTTCTTCGTTTGTGGAGTGATACTAAAATCCATCTTGATGGTGATGGGTAAGAAACCACATTAAAAGGATAAACGTGAATGTCCTTTCCTGCCGGGGGCCGCTCTAGGAGAGACTCTGTCACCTTGCAAATGAAGTTCCAATTCTGGATTCATCACTGCAGTCCTTTTAGTCACTGGGTTTTTTTTCTCTTGTTGCCCCCATGCTGCTAGTGAAACCTGTAACACCCAGTGAATGTTTTCTTAAATTCCACCCAACAGGTGGAATTTTAATTCCTTGTGGTGTACAGCAGGGAAAGCTGTTCACTTGACATTCTTATTTGGGAGGATGTTGGATAGTCAGTCAGGTGATACAAATTCTCATCCCGGATTCTGTTTGACTGTGAGTGTTGGCTTCCACCTTCCCTGTAGCTTCCTTGCAGTAGCTGTTTATAGAGCGCAGCTCCTGATGCAGAGGAGCAGTTTGTGACTGTTTTCTTCTCTCCATTAGTGGCTTCAGTGTGAGCACCGCAGGGAGAATGCACATCTTCAAGCCAGTGTCAGTGCAAGCCATGTGGTATGTATGTTAATTAGCTTTGCTGAGAAAGAGACGTTTCTGGGAATAAATTTTCTGTGAGTAAATTAAATAAGCAAAGTGCACTTTAACATTCTCCATAACTAGTGTTTGGTGAGCTGCAGTAGAGATACTGCTTCCCTGTGTCAGCAGGTAGCAACACTATAAAGGGATTGTGAGAGTACTGATCCAAAAGTAGGCTGCTTCTGTTCAGGGCAGCTTTGTGTCCTTTAATATAAGGATGATGGGAAATGGCACTAATGAGGTGAATAAACATGAAAGACCAACCTGAATTCCTCAGGCTGCAAACCCTGTCTGTCTTCTCTGTGTCTGTTTTTCTAACTGGTTGAAAAAGGAGTCTGATGAGCCATTGCCAATCTGATGGCATTTGCAGGGCTCTGCCCTGTTTCTGCAGCCAGGCCGGGGTTCCTGCTGCGTGAAAACTTTCCGTGCCGCCCCAGGCTCGCGTTCACCTTTCGGCTCCTGTCGCCTCTCCCGTGCGCAGGGATTCCAAAACACTGAAGCAGAGACAGCTGAATCAGCAGCGGCTGTGCCAGAAAATTCCTTCCTGAAGAGACTGCTCCCCTGCCCCTAATATAACAAATGCATGTATTTTGGCCTGGCCGGTGGAGCTCCGGTTGGAGCTTAATGAGATCCCTGTTCTTGTAACCTCTGATAGGGAGAAGATACAGATGTAGAGAAGGATGTCATGTTAGGGATGATTTGGTACAGAAACAAATGAAATGCTTGTTCCTGCCATTTTTGAACGTGGCCCTCCTATTGGCAGCCTTAGATGTAGTTAATGTATTCAGTATAATGATAACTTCAGAGTAGAGCCTTAAGAAAAAAGGAGGAGGTAGGAGAGGGGGGGAAAAAAAAAAGGAAAAATTAATGCTAGAATTTACAAAAACAAATGACTCAATCTGGGCTCTGTCCCTGGAGCACGTCAGGGACCAAGAATGCTGGTAAATATGCATTGGACTCCTTGTTGAAGGTAGTTTGAAAATTGTCCATGTTCTTTATTTTTCTTTAGTCTAGCTTTGCAAGTTAGCTGATGATTAGATCCCAGAGTGACTTGTGCCTCATTCTTGCCCATTGATTGAAAGAAAATGCTAGCCTTTGCTTTGGACCAGCGCTTGATAAGCCTCCAAGATACAGCTTGTGCCCTCTCTGAACTCGCATGCAATAAACCTGCATTGCTCTCGCTCTCTCTATCTCGCTTGCTCTCAAAAAAAAAAAAAGGCAAAAAAAACCTTTTTCCTCTGTGAAAATCTCTTGAGATCCTGCTCTGTATGTTCCTGCTGCTCACACCTGTATAACTTTGTTCTCCAAACTTGGCAGGTCTGCTTTACAGATCCTCCATAAAGCCTGTGAAGTTGCAAGAAGGTACAACTACTTCCCTGGTGGAATGGCCTTGGTCTGGGCCACGTACTATGAAAGCTGCATCAGCTCTGATCAGAGCTGCATCAATGAGTGGAATGCAATGCAGGACTTGGAGTCCACCCGCCCGGACTCTCCAGCTCTGTTTGTTGACAAGTCAGTTCTAAGTTTTATTAGAAAATGTTAGCTTGGCTCACAAGAAAAATCTCTTCTTCTCCCTTTTGTTTTTTCTAGTGGTTCATTTCCTTTCATTTCATAAAAGTCTTAATGTTTTTTGTTTTTATTTTTTTGTTCCCCCTGTTATTCTGGTCAGTTTACTAAATGTGAGTCTTTCCCAGCATTCCTCTGTAGTGCACAACTTGCACATCTCAGGAGAGTGTGTTTACTGCCTGACTGGGTACATCCTTTCCTTTTCCCTTTTAGGCCAACTGAAAGGGAACGAACAGAACGGCTCATTAAAGCCAAGCTCCGGAGCATCATGATGAGCAAAGACCTGGAAAATGTGACTTCCAAGGAGGCAAGTATAAAATCGGCTGCTATCTTATCCTTCCTGCTAGACTCCTTTTCTGGAGTGTTGCATTGATAAAGGGACGCCATATGACTAGGTGTTGTTGGCTTTTGAGTGTTGGCTTTTTTGAGTGTTGGCTGTTGGTGTTTGAGTGAGTGGCTTTTCAGCTGTTCCTTTAAAAGCTTTGCTATGCCTCTGTGTCTCCAGCAGGAAAATTAGGGTAATATCAACATCAGAGTGAATGTTTCATGTCCTTAGTAACAAGTATTTGACTCTGAAGTGCAAAGTGCCTGTTTCTTTGCCAACAGAGTGGCATTAGAGATGATACCTGCATTACAGCTGGTTGTAGCACATGTAGGCATGTCCAAGCCATGAATTTGCAGCCACTTTTGCTTTTCAGGGCATCCCTGTGAATCACACAAGCAAAGGTAGCATTTTCAGAACATGCAGTTGGTGGCTTGAGCCCTCACAACTGTGAATATACATGGTTGTTTTAGGTGAGTGACCTGATACTCACTCACTCGTGGACAGTGCAGAGCAAATTATGTGCTGCAGTGTCTTTCTCCTTGTTGGCTTCAATATTAAGGTTTTATTTTCTATGTTTGTGAGCAGTCAGTGGCTTGCAGGCAAAATTTTGCAAGTGACTCTTTGGATGGAGAGTCACAGGTTGAGGCTAAAGCTAGACTGGATCTGCTTTGCATGTGCACCTTCCTCAAGCTGAGCTGCAGTAAAAGAACTGTATACCTGTGCCCTGACATTTAAAAAAGGGAAAATACTGGAAATCTCTAGATTCTCTTTTCACCAGTGATGCTGCCATCATTCACCTCTTGCTTCTAATGGGTTTCACATTTGTATGTTAGCTGCTCTCCAAGGACTGACTTATTATTGCTTAAATTATTTTTACGATGCAGATGGCTCCCTCCCCTATTTTGGGGTATATTGGGATGTTAAATGTGAGGGCCTGAGATACTGGCCTGTGGCCAAAAGGGTGAATCCTTCTTGCTGTCTTTAATGAAGTACAGAATGCATACTGGAACCTTGCTGGCAGAGGAGTGCCAGCAAATGTTTCTACTGAGCAGACATGATTCTAGGTGGCATCCTTTCTTTTCTGCTCTGCAGATACGAAATGAGCTGGAGAAACACATGAATTGCAACTTGAAAGAATTCAAGGAATTCATAGACAATGAAATGCTGCTTATCTTGGGTCAGATGGACAAACCATCTCTGATTTTCGATCACTTATATCTGGTAAGCTGCAGTGCCAGGAGTTCCAGAAAGGCTGGAGGCTTGGTGGGAGCAATCTGGCAGGTCACTGGGCTTAAGGGAAGCTCGATTTGGTGTCAAGGCTGAATTGTGCAGCATGAGCAAGAGATACAGCCTGTTATCTAGCCCTTTGTGTGGAGTCTTTACCCCTGGGCCCATTTTGCTTGCAAAAGCCCACAGTACAGAAGCCCTTTTTCTCTAGCTAAGTTCTTGTTTCTGGCACTTTACGTAGCGGCTCTTTTCTGGCAGGTTCACCCTGCTTCAGGACATACCATGGCATAGCTCAAGTTCTGTGTACGCTCATTTTGTGTTTCTGGCAATGGAGATTTTCTTTTAAGATAGAGAAAGGGTCTAGCTCTGGATGCTGCCCTGCTGTGACAACTCTTTGCCCTTTGACTGACTAGCGTCGCTGTATTCTTTTTCTTGGTCGCGCCTAGCAATTCCTTATACATGGCGAAAGCTATATGAAGAATAAGGCTGAAGGTGATGTGCTCTTCAAGCTTATGCGGAAGCAAAGATGTGTGTTTCTTGTAGTCTTTTGCCACTAGATGGTACTCCAGGCAAAACCAGGCACTGCCATCTGGAACAAAGACTTACTTAAGATGAACATATTTGTGCCCTTTATGCCTGGGACATGTTTTTTCTTGAGAGCCTCACAGGAAATGTTGATATTTGGGGGCAAAGCTTACTTTATGTACCCTTTTTGCCCTGTTCTGCAGGGGCAGGAGGGATCCAAAGTATAATTACCCCTATAACTTTCAGGTTTTGCCTCACTTCTCAAATACCTGTGATCCCAACCATGCTGAACCTAATCATTTCACCTCTCTGCTCTGTTTATCTTGTTGTTAAAGATGCAGAGCGGGCAGTGATTTGGGATGTGCGCTGTCCCATGCTGGCCTAGAACTAACTCCTTAGACAAAGATGTAATGTCCCTTTTCTGATAACCCTTCAGGAGGTCCTTGGTAGTACTTGTCCTTATGGCAAGCCACAGTGCTGGCTGCAGTTGTGCCATTTTACTGTTGTTGTCTCTAACAACCGCTACCATAAATTGTGCACACCTCAGATATCTTCCTGCACAGCCCCTCTGCCTCATTCTTAATCGTTCTAACTTCAAAGGGACTCTAAACTTTTTGCATGCCCGTATTTGAGACTATCAGGACTAGTCTGGATTCAGCCAGCATGCTGCAGCTCTCGGCAGCGCCCTGGCGCTGGTACACTAACTGTACCCTTTTCGGAAACGGTTACAAATCTTTCGTTTGGCAGCTAAGGAATATTGCTGAGGCAGTGGGATTGCAGAATCCTAGAAAACAGGAAGGGTCTCCGGAGCCACGATAGCCCCTCTCCCTCTGGCCCACTGCAGGATCAACTCTGCCCTATGGCATCTCTGCCAGCTGTTTGATTGACCTGCTCTTAAACCCTCATTGAAAGCAGGTTCATAATGTTTCCAGGCAGTGTGTCCTGGTGGATTCAGCTCTGTTGGAGCAGTGAGGGGATAGCAGCATTTTGACTCTTTTGAAATGTGTATCTTGTGTCTCTGTGTGCGACTGTTGTAGGGGTCTGAGTGGAACGCCTCCAACCTCGAGGAACTGCAGGGCTCTGGGTGAGTACTGCATCTTTCAAACACTCATGTTAGACTGCAAAACCTTTGATCATTTACCTTTAATTTGCATTGAGGTCTCTTGAGATGACATACGATGTTCATAGACCAACATAGGGCCAAGTCTGGGTCCAGTTCCCACCAATGTGGGTAACTTGCTGTCAGGACCTTGGTCAAGAAATCTTCTCTACCTCATTTCCACCACATATAGAGTGGAGGTAACAAAGCTTCTCATTTGTAACGTACGTCAAGATCTCCAAAAAATACCCCACTGGGTAGCAGCCGAGTGTGAAACGGACGGACGTATTGTAACGTCAAGTGTGAATTCCTGCAGGCTGCATAGAGTAAATATTACAGCGCTAAGCTTAGGAAAAAGCTCTGTCTAAATGGAGCAGAACTTCCTGTGGATGCGCAATCTCCATCTCACCTGCCCAGGCAGGCAGCTGCAGGGCTGTCTTTCACCACACTCTCATCACCGCACCACTTCTTGGCTTGATTTACTTTCACGCTTTTTAGACGAGTGAGAATTTTGCATATAAATATTTGCTGCTTGCCCAAGGCGTACACGAACCCCAATGTGAGAAACTGAAAAATATTGCTTAACAGCATGACTAAAAATGTTTAGTTTGGAGTCCTTGGGAATAGATGTCTGAACATCTTTGAACAAGTAAATCAAGCAGCACATTAATACCTTGATCTACAGTGAAAGCATCTTGAAATGCAGTTTCTGAAAGTCAAAGCTGGACGAATTCTGAAATGAATATTCTGTGTCCTTGATTTGTCTGAGTGATATGAATAAATCAATATGGGCATTCATTCTCCCTTGGTACATTGTAAACCCTGCTGTAATATTTGGCAGGAGTTGAGAGATATCATGTGGCTCTCACTTCATATTTTTGGTAGGAAAGAAGAGAAAATGATGGTTTGGTAGCAAAAGCCTGCATTTGAAAAATGTGATTCCTGGGTTCTGTTCCCAGATTCTGCCCAAACGAACCACTTGCAGTCTTTGCGCTTTTCTCCTGTCAGCGTCCGCATGTACAGGGTGGGAAACCTGCTTGCCTCATGGGGACGGCTAAATTCTTTTTTGCAAGGTGCTGCAAGATCCCCGGTTGACAGGCACCGCAGTAATGCTGTGGTTTGCTTTTCTGGATTAAGAGGCAGACCAGTCTGCTGGAGCTGTGTTGCCAAACAGTGAGGAGTTCCTGATTATTTTACCCTGTCTGCCAGGACATTGTAACCTAAACGTTTTCCTCCTGTGCCCAAGGCCTCAATGCTTTGAAAGGGGTATGCCAGTGGCGAGAGATGGGTGAATGGACAGGCCCTGCAAGTGAGGTGTGTGACTTGTTTCACCAGGTGTCCCAGGAGTTCAGGATTTGGGCTGTTGATAAAATCTAACAGCACATACTGTGTCAGATTTCATGTAATTCACAATGTGTATCAGTTCCCCTTTCCTGGCCGTGGCAGTTCAGCTCTCTATTTTTCTTTTCATTCTCCACAGCATTGACTACATTTTGAACGTGACCAGGGAAATAGATAATTTTTTTCCTGGTTTGTTTGCATATCATAATATCCGAGTGTATGACGAGGAGACAACAGACCTCCTGGCTCACTGGAATGAGGCGTATCACTTTATAAATAAGGCCAAGTAAGTGGGCAGGGAGACGTGACTTAGCATGGGAGCGTATCCAAGCCACGGCTAAGAACTGCTTGAGGTCTGGGTGAAGAGAGTGAAGCTGTGCCCTGCGTATGTCATCCAGCCACTGAAGCTAGAACTCCCTGGAGCGACACCACAGCTGAGGATGGCAGCAGGGGTTTTGCGTTACTGCTTTTCTCGGGAGTTTTCTGTGTCCCTGAAATTTCCATGTACCTGATCTGTTCCTGCGCTGATCAGGGATTAACCCATTTCTAGCCTGTGGTTCTATTTTCTTATATTTGTTGTTTAGCTTGCAAGAGGAAACGAGAACGTTTCCTCTTCTCAAGAAACTTTGTAAATACTCCAACTCATGTCCATATTAGGTTAGCCCAAGCTATCTCTGCAGGCAAGAGGTGGTGACAGAGCCTGTCAGACTGCAGGGTTTCTATGTTCAAGTTGTTCCTGCTTATTCCTGTAGCCAAAGACATGAGTGCGCAGGCAGGGGATTTCATGGTGGTCTCTGAAATGGCAGCATGATTGAGGCTGCCCTTCTCTAACGCCTGACTTCCCTGGAGAGAGAGGTTCTTTTCACGGCTTACTGAAAAGTCCAAAGTATTCGCCACCTCTTGACCTGTGGTCTGAGAGTGGTCAGGAGGACAAAAGTACTGTCCATCCACCATTTAAAACATTAAAGACAAATATAATAACCGGAAAGATGTAAGAGATCTTCCTTTTTCCTCCTTCTCCAGGAAGAATCACTCCAAGTGCCTGGTGCACTGCAAGATGGGTGTTAGCCGGTCAGCATCTACTGTTATAGCTTACGCAATGAAGGAATTTGGCTGGTCCCTGGAAAAAGCCTATAATTATGTGAAGCAAAAACGCAGCATTGCAAGACCAAATGCAGGCTTCATGAGACAGCTTTTGGAATATGAAGGCATTTTAGATGCGAGGTAAGGTGATAAAGTGAATGGAAAGGTGACTTGTAGGAAATAAAAGGAGCTAATTAGAGGCAGTGACTCTAAAATATCGGTGACTCTCACTGACTTGAATTTAATCAAGTTCCATGGGTTTCTGTTCAGGCATTAGTTTCTTCTGCTGATGCGCATGGCACGTGTGTATGCAAGACAGACACTGACAAAGTGTGTGTGGTACTGTAATCTGAAGGAGACCACCGTACAGAAGGGCCATCTTTAAAGGGCAGATGCAGAAGCCTGGGCTAATCATGTTTTTCTAAACCTTGTCTATGCCAGGCCTCCCTGGATGGAAATTAGCTGTCTTCTAGGGAGATCTGTTCTGGTTTAATTCAATGAGGATTTCTTTGCATTTCTTTGGAAGCGTGTTCGTATTTCTCAGCAGCCAGCGTTGTTCAGCAAAAGCTTGTTCTTGTTTTATGAAGCAGAACTGAGCTCAAGCAGTGTTGGAGGCAAATCATTTACAGTTCTGGGTGACCACGCCAATCAGGTTTCTTTGTCGTTACGAGTGCTGTAGTATGTAATAAAGGTTTCTGCGTGCTTGACTTGGCCTTTGCTCTAGTGGGGGAAGAGGATGAAAATTTGTCATCTAGGTGACCCTGCTTGAGCAGGGTCTTCTGTGCCCCTCTGCCCTAAGGGCCTCTGCACAAGGGCTGTTCCCATTGTGTGTTCAGTGTGGTGCACTGCTGAGGGTCTGCTGGGTCAAAAAGACTCTGGAGCAGGCAGGTGTGATGGACCAAATCCTGATGCTGGAGAACCTTTGCCAACGTAGGACTGCAGGGCTGGACCCACCAGTCAGGCTTTCAATTCCGGATTGTGAATTTCCCCCATATGTAGAAATGGGGGGACTTGTCTGGAACTGAGCGCTGTCCTCAGCTCGCACTGCAGCCATCACATCATCAGCAGCTTAACTATACTCACTTGTGTCTTTTTCTTTTCCCCAGCAAGCAGCGTCACAATAAGCTGTGGAAACAGCAGGCAGAGAGCAACATACCGCAGAACACGGATGGCACCGCAGGGCCAGGTGACTTCTTACTCGAAAGCTTAGACATTGACCTAGAAAATCGCCTAGCTGACCTGGACACACCTTCGCAGTCGGCGTACCTGGACAACCGAGCCAGCACAGAAGTGGCTGTGGGGTTCAATTACTGCTTCCGGCGCCTCTCGGACACCCTGCTGGAGAACAAGATGCCCAGTGACAGGGAGGGGTTTTTCCAAGTGGAGGAGTTGGAGCGGGATGCGCTTGCAGAGCATACTGACTCGCTGACGGGACAGCCTCTGTCTGCATCTTTGGATGGGAGGGTGGAGACAGCAAAAGTCCAAGAGACAGCAGAGCCAGTGACGGAGCTGAGCAATTTCTGCGAGAAGGAAGTGAAGAAGAAACTAGAATTCAGCCCCCGGAAGGGAAGGATAGTGCCAGGCCCCAGGGACCCAGGGGAGGATGGTGTCAGGGAGGAAAATCCTATGGAGAAGTGGAAGCGTCGCTTATCCGTGCACAAGGAGGAAAGCAGGCTTAATAGAGAGAACTTGAATAACAACAACAGCAAAAGGAGTTGCCCGGAGGATTTTGAGGTGCGTATGGAATTGAAATGTAGATGATTTGCATGGCTGACTACTGCAAGTGAAACTGCTCTTCTCATCTTCATAGCACAGTTTCATTTGACTTGGATAAACCTTTTCATTCCATGATGAGCTTCTTCCCTTTCGAAGTGCTTCTGAACATGGCTGTGCTTGCCCAAGCTGTGGATTTAGATGCCAGAGAAAGAGCGCACACATGTGAGTGCACTATAAACTGCTTTGGGCAACTTGCTTGCATGACCATCACTTGGAATGGTAGGTGTTTTTCTAGTGAAGTTACCGACTGCTGGGAAAGTATGTGACTTTTGTTCCTGCTTCAGGGCCTTAATAGAGAAGTGGAAATCTTTCAGATCTGCTCAGCTGTAAATATTTCTTCTGTTCTGTGCCTTTCGCTCTGCTGATTGTTGATGTGCTGTTCTGTGCACATTTATCTGTACCTGTTTTCTTTTCTGCAGCATGATGTCGTATTTGGGATCCTCAGTAAAGTCAAGCCTTCCTATCAGTCTTGCACAGACTGCATGTATTCCTCGGCCAGTTTGTCTCCTGAGTCCTTTGGGGAGCAGTGTGAAAAGCTGAATCCAGGCACTGCACGTCGCAGCTCTACCATCTGCACACAACCAGCTCTCCTCTCCCACATCACTTCCAACTTGGCAGACCACCTGCCCAGCAAGTCACAGTCAGAGGAAGTAATCAGAACTAAAAATAATGAGACTCCGCTTCCTCTGTCAGCAGTAACTGGTACTTTGGAAGCTGTTACTTGCAAATCAATGGCTGAACAACACTACAGTATTTCAGAGAAAGGAAAAGATGCACCAAAAACCCTTGTGAAAACTCTGCTGGCCAAGAGCAACTCGCACTGTGACAAGAGCCCCCTTACTGCAGAAGCAGTAAAGGAAGAGTCTCTAGCCAGAAAGGACAGCAAGCCCACAAAGGATCTGAAGTATTTGTTGTTCAGTAAAGACTTGGAAAAGCCAAGTGCAAACAGTTACTTGATGCAACATCAGGAGTCTCTTATTCAGCTGCAAAAAGCAGGCTTGGTTAGAAAACATACCAAAGAACTAGAGCGTTTGAAAAGCATACCGTCAGAAGCCTCTCTGCTGTTCAGAGAGAGCCCCATGAGCAGAGTTGACTCTGGCATTGTGGAGGAAAGCCAGGGTTTGGTTTCACATCATGCCCTAGTACCTCTTCTGGGGCCGGTACCGCTGATACCTGAAGACGCAGAAAACAATGTGGAGAAGTTAGAGGTCAAACGCACTGTGGAGGGAATCTCTCAGAAAACCTCCACGCCTGTCACGTATAGGTTGGAGCACACGAGCAGTTTCACAAAGGACTTTCTAAAGACCATCTGCTACACCCCATCGTCCTCCCGGAGCTCCAACCTGACGCGGAGCTCCAGCAGCGACAGTATCCACAGCGTGCGGGGGAAGCCCGGCCTGGTGAAGCAGCGAACTCAGGAAATCGAGACCAGGCTGCGGCTGGCTGGTTTGACTGTGTCCTCTCCTCTGAAGAGGTCCAATTCTCTCGCCAAGCTAGGATGTCTTAACTTGTCCTCTGAGGACTTATCAAGTGACATGGATGTGTCAACCATAACGGACTCAAAAGAAGCTGTTTCAAGCGAGTCTTCCGTGCTCTGTGAGCCACAAACCACTCTGAGGAGTGCAGATGTCAGCTCCACACTGGTAGCAAAGTCAACTGTGGGAAACTTGAAGAATACACTTTGGATGGGCAAAAGGTTTCTGGGGGGGGGGGGAGGGGTGAGGATGGTTTATATTTTTTGATTTTTTTTAAGGCATTTATTCATGGCACCAATGCAGTTTTATCATCTGGCTGGCAGTAGTTCATCTGATGCCACCTCTTCCTCCCCTCCTTGTATCCTAAGTAGAGAGAAAAAGAAACATAATGGATCGTGATGAAAGGCACAAGAAAAAATAAAATGTATTGCATGGCTTAGAAGAGGACTTTGTGTGAACTGGCTGTTGTCCTGCAGGATGTTATTTCTAGTACTGTTTGCCAAGTATAATAATGTGTTTTTGTGTATGTGCATATATAGGTAGATACTTTATCTATTTATCTATCTATATAAATTGCTGAAAATTCTGTTTGAAACTCTCAACAAAGTAATTAGACATAACTTTTCTTATACTTTTTTTTTAAACGAAACAAACACAAGTCTCTAGTTAAAACAGGCACTTGTGGAAAAATCCTTAAAATGGTGACATGAACACTACCTCTGATTTGCTGACTTCTACTTTTGGTTTGTTTTCTTTTTAAAGGGTTTTCCCACAATACTTACCATTTTTTGAAGGTATTACCTTAGTGTTAACTGTAAAGACCTGAAAGAGTATTGAGACATAGGCTTTTCTGCACTGAGTAATCTAGCTATGAAGTCAAGTGAAGGAGTATAAAGCTGTGTTTGTATTGAGTGTGTGATCTGCTGACCTTAGTCCTCCTTTACTGTATAACCAGGTGAATTGTCATAGTCTTCTGTTCATAATGGAATGACATCTAGACTGTGTCGTTGTTGAAGGCTTATGTTAAAGTGGACAGATGTCTTGTTCTTTGGGTGTTTTTGCTGTTGTGGTTTGTAATGTCCTGGTGATAATGACAAGCCTGGCCAGTAAGTGACCATGAACCCTAGTGAAACATTGTGTAATGCTGTATCAGTGTTGTGGTTCCTGTGCTGGAGACCCTTCTTCATCGGGCTGTTGGTGGCATGCGTTGCAGGCGAGATAACTGAGCCGTCTCCTGCCCCAAGGGAAGACGGCAGCTCTTGTGATGCGCTATGCATTTGAAATCTGAGTAGGCAATAGGCAAACGTGTAACTTTTTTGATAATTGGTATTGTTTTTGGTAGAACAGTTCTTGCATCCTAGGTTTCCCAGCAGCCTAGGAAGCTGTTTTCAAACTTGTGTGTTGTGTGAAGTCCAAGGAGTTATTTACGCTGGTTGGCAGGAGGCTGCGTGGCCCCAAAGCGGGGAGGCTGCGTCTGCGTGTCCCAGCTCTTGCACGGCTGCGCTAGCCGCTTGCCAACAGCGAGAGACGTGTAAATCCTGCTCTCGTTGGGGTCTGTGTGCATCCCATGGGAGAAGCAGTGGTTAGGTACCCAGGACGGGCCGAGGCACGGCAGGCGGTAGTAGTTGGCCTAGCCTCCCCGCTCAGCAGGTAAACATCATTCAGTGCTTCTGCACAGTACTGCAGCTGTACGGCTGGTAAGACAGGCTCAGTCCTGCCCCTCTGAAACCACTGGCTTCTGCTGGGCAGGATTTGGCTGCTCTAGAGCAAAGTCCTGCCACAGAGACCATTCGTCCTCCGCCAGCTGCCTGGGACCTGCTGCCTGTGCAACATTGAGGGCCAACTCAGAAATGGTCTGTTCCTCCTCAGCTCCTGGGAGAGCCCCTGGGAACCTGAGCGCAAGTCTCGGGCACGGACCTCAGGGTTCAGTCCCTGGCAGTCAAACAGAAAAATAAGGTCATTCCAAAAAGAAATGAATATTGAAGATATGGGTGAGGTTTCCTTCCAGAGAAAAGCAAGCAAGTAAACGTAGGCTGACCATGTTCGGCTCTGCAGAGAGCCGGGGCCGTGGCCCGCCCTGTGTCGCGTAGTGATGCTGCCTGGGGAAGCGCTTCCCTTCCCTGGCCGGCGGCCGTTCTCACAGATCAGTCTCGGAGCAGTGTTGCGGTACGCTCTTCCTCTTACTGTCATGCAGTAGGAGATGCTTGAAACACAGCAATTCACTGATGCTATATGAAATGCATGTTTTCTTAGAATATTTTGGGCAGCCAACGTGAAAGAGCATGGCTCGAGAACGGCTCTGCGCTGGGTGCTCCTGCCAGCTCAGGAGGGAGCTGCAGGGGACACGCTCCAAGCGTCGGTGCTCTCGGAGTCCCGCCGAATGCGAATCGGATTTAAACTTTGCAGTGACGTGGGCGCTTCTGAAAATGTGGTGGTTGCTTGCTCATTCAGGATAGTGTTTTGAAGCAGGCTTTGGGGTCAGAACAGACCTTAGAGCTTAACGATGGCAAACTGATCAGTTTGCCATGCTGCTCATTTAACAACCGGGCTGTGTGTCTGAGCTCTCCAAAGTTTTAAAATATCCATCGAAAGCCATTCTTACAAATCCACTTCTTGGGGTGGGGTGGAGACCAGGACTGCAAATAGTAAAACTCAGAACCTCTATTAATCAAAAACTCAATGTCCTGAGAAAGTGAGCCATGTGTTTTACTGTCCTGAATACCTAGCGTTTACCTTCCCCCCCCCCCTTACCCATAAGACCTCACATTTTTGTATTAACAGTCTGAGGAATTATATGGACTGGGAATCAGTAAATAAATATCTCTCCTTAAAGAGTCTTCAATTTTATGTGCACCTTTAGCTTGGGGCACGTTTCCTATTTCACTTATGAGAGATGGTTTGAAGCAAAAGCTCCTGCGTGAGGGACCTTGGAGAAGGTGCAGAAGTTCTGTGTTCTGCTTCGTTTAGAGCTGAGAAAATGCCAGGTCATTTTTGGAGTTGGCCCTTCCCTGGTTGCTCCGCGTGTTGCCTCCAGGCTACCAGGAATCTGAGATATCTTGAACTTGGATCCCGTGATTGACAGATTTCACTGCTTCCCCCCCATTTTTGTTGCATATTCTGGAAATCAGAAGTGGCTGGTTCAGTTCTGTACACTGTGACTCCCCGAAGCGCGCATCCTGCCGCTCTTAAAAAAACTCTTCCCAGGTCAGACGTTTCACTGAAATAGCCTTCCCTGATATCAAAGTACTAGGACTGCATTTGCCAGCCCAAATCTGCTGTAATAAATTTCCTGTATTTGTATAGTTTTTACTCTGTTTGTACCTATATTCTTGTTTATAAGTGATGGCAAAGAGGTGGGGGGCACCTAGGAGGCCGCTGCACTGTCTCTGATGCCTGCAGGGCTCTTGAGGGTGTTGCCAGCAGTGTTTGCTAGAACAGCCACCTTGGATGGCTCTTTTAATTTGCTGTTCTGCTCCCAGCCCCTCCGCAGTTCGCAGCACTGCGCTCGGGTTGGGGCACAGCGCAGCGGTCAGCCTTGAAGCTTGCAAGGGCCAGTTGCAGAGTCGTTCACGTTCTCTGTGCACAAGCTGTGCTTGCGTTCAGACTGATCCATGCTCTAGGGCGGCTGCTCCCAGAAGAACAGCTGTCCCTGCGATGCGCGTCCTCCCTTGGGCTGGTGCTGTCTGGCAGAGTTGGGACAGTGCGGCAGATCCCAGCCTGGCTTGCATTTTTCTTGCCTGTTTTCCCATGCTGTAGTTCCCTCCTTTTTCTTGCTTTCCTCTTCCCCCGGGCACGTGTGCCGGGCCCTTAGGCAGCACTGCTCTAGGACTGGCCCCTAGCTGAGCGTCTGCGGCGACCCCTCGATCCCCAGCAAGGGGCGGCTGCTCAGGCCCAGGCATGAGAGCTGAAGAACTCATTGAATTGTCACCGTTGCCCCGTGGGCACGGCCCGCCTGAGCATTCGCGTGGCCGGGGGTCCCCCGGGGGCGGCTCCCCGGGGTGCCTCACCCCGGCTCCCGCGCGGGGCGCATTGCCCCAGCGTAGCAGTTTGCTTAGGGGGGAGGAAGGCCGAACTGGACCATCGCCCCGCAGAGACCCGGCTCTGAGCAGGAGGAACAGATGCCGACATGCCGGTACCTCTCGGTGCTGCAGATAACACTCCTGTGCTCTCCCGCTGCTCACCAGCCAAGGGAAGAAGTGGGGACTTTGACTTGAACAAGTTCAGAAAAATTCCCAGGTCTTATATGATGCAAGTGAACATATGTATTTCTTCCTGTTTTCTTGAGTGCCTGCCAAATTCTGCTGCAAGCAAACTACTGCTTTCCCAGGGGCGTTGCTCTGTGTAGACCGCCTTTCCTGTGCGGCGATACCGAAAACCTGTTGCGTGGACTCAGCTATCATTAGAGCATGACTGTGTTGCCAATCCCACAGTTTAGCTCATCAGACTTGAAGCTCTATTGCTGCTTGGTGCAACACGATACTGTCAGGATAGAGACATAGGTTATTATCAGTTGTTTTTAAGGCCAACGTGTGTTAGAAGCACTAGCGTGCCATTGCAAAGGTTTTATAGCCAAACCTATGATGCTTGCAGACTTCGTTAGATTTGTTGCATGAGAAGGTAGATGTTTTTTTCCTCTCTTGTGTATCGTAATTGTTCTTTTACAATTGAGTGCCTTAATAATAGTTTACAAATACTGTGTATTTTTGCTGAGCTGTTAAACTGCTGTTTGCTGTTCATTTTTTGGTGCTTTTGGTGTTTCCAGTGGCAGTAAGACCGTTGCTACTTCTGCATATCGACCTTTCAGTCCTCCCGTCGCTGCTGAGCTCAGAATTGCTAACCACTTCCCTTTTGCTCTGTATATGGCAAAAACAACGGGGTGTATTACGAAAATGCCATGCAGCTTGCAGCTCCTGGTGCCCACTGCCATCGTTTCCGATTTATCTATGCATTGCTGCAGAAGTGCAGACAGGGGATGCCTGCCGAGACATTCCAAAGACGGACGGCCACGTTTTGCTCGGTGGATTTACAGGTATAATCCAAACCAAGTCACATTCTGATAAAACCTGAAATGCACAAAACTGGCACCTTATTTCCAGTCTATGCTTTGTTGGTCCATGTTACAGCAATAGCCATCCTTCTGGTTGTCCTCTCTCCAAAAGTGTTCTTTAACTCAGTAATGTCACGCTGTTCATGATGCAAACGTTTGTCTGCTCTCCGCGTGGAGAGTCGGCTCCCGGACCTGGGAGGCAGAGACCATCCTCGGTAGATAGTGACCATAAATCCAGGGAAGGAGGTAGGTAGGTGAGTAACTTGCAGCTGTTTCAATGCATTGCTGTACTCTATGATAACAATGTTACTTTTATTTCATTGTATTTCTTAATTCTGATTTTATATTTAAATATGCAGTATCTTTTGTACTGTACGTTTGCGGTAGGGGATGCATAATGCACTTTTTTTTACTTTTGTTTGTAAAAATGTACTGTATATTTTATGTGCTTCTTGTGAGGAAAATAAACTTTTTTTTTTCCTTTTACAAATGAGCTTTGTAGCATTTTTGGAGGTGGGGAAGGCCGGGCCATAAAGACCATCAGCCCAAGCTCTGCGTTTCAGAGCAGATGCCTCCATCCTTCCGCCATCCCGTGCGGTGGCGAGGTGGCGCTGGGGCAGGACCCACCTGAAAGGCTGGAGCCAAATTCTCATCTTGGTTGTCTCACCAAAGCCAGGTTGTCTCACCAAAGCCAGGTTGTCTCACCAAAGGCAGCGAAGTCGCTCTGGTGAGACTGTGGTGGGGACCTGGCCCTGTGATGAGGAAAGGGGAAGGATCAGCCCAGCCGTGGGGAGCAAGTCCCGTGGAGGAGGCTGGAAAGGAAAGGTCACAACAAGCACGAATTGGCTGAAGCAGTGGCTGCTCCTTGCTCCTGTCATCTCTTGTTCTGTCTTTCCTGGCTGTGCTCCGTGTTACCCTCTTTCCTTTTGCTTGGTCCTGGCCGCTTTCTGTGTACCCTAAAGGCCACATTGAGTAATGCCTTTATCCCTCTTGCATCCTTGGCGCTGTTGAACGTGCTTCAACTGCACTGCTGGAAGAGCAAGCAGGGCAGAAACGCGTCTGAGCCATGGCATGGGCTCACTTGTGGTTTTTAAGGTGGAAAGGGAATGAAATGGAAACAGGTGTAATGCTTAGAGGCAGGTGTAGGACTGCAATTTGTAATTCTCTGGCACGTCACTTCCCGGAGACCTCAGGTTGGATTTAAGGAGAAGCTTCTAGTGTCTTGGAGCATGTTCCCTAGTGCTGAGCGGATATTGGCAGCACAGCGGTTGTGCACGTGAAAGTGATGCCTGTCCTGTGCTAAGCAATCCCTGCACAGTGCATGGAGAAGTGCTTTATTTGGGGTGTTACAAGAGTCATGTGGGCTCCTTAATTCCCACAGGCCTGGGCTACACTGTCTCCTCTGAAGAGCAAATAACCAGCATAAAAGCAGATGAGCTAAATCTCAGGCTGCGGCTCTTCTGCCCTGCGCCGATTCTGCTGCAGCCCCAAGATCCACCCAACGTGGGACCAGCCCGTCCTGGGCATTCACCAAATTTTGCCTTTAAAGGCAAACAGTGAGCATCAGTCTCCTGTGCCTGCGAGGAGTCTTGTTGCTGCCTGGAATTGTTCGCGCTCTCAGAGCCGCCCGGGGGAAGAACATGTCAGTGTTTACCTTGGCAGAGGAGCAAAGCACAGGCTGGGGATGCTCTCTGGCCCTGACAAACTTGCTAATTGCCTCGAAGAGTCATTAACCCCCACAAGAAACAATGCTTTGTTTGTTTGCTGATTTGGTTTTGAATTGGCAGCTGTCCGTCATCCCTCGGTCAAGCGCAGCCTGGGCAGCGGCCTGGGGTGTGAACTGCCGCTTTGCCGCCGGGGCGCTGGGCTCCGGCAGGCCGCCGGCGGGGGGAAGT